CCTTGGCTGTCTTTTTTAACGTGGAGTATTTCCGTGGTGAGTGACTTATGTAAGAGAATAGAGACTCCTCGTGATTTTGAGGAGTGGGTGGCGTGGTACTGAGTGGGGTAGTCTTGGACGGCGAATGTGGGGGTTCTGTTGGTGGCGAAGTGTGTCTCTTGGAGACACACTATGTCTGCTTTGTGACTTTTCAAATCTTGCAGCAGCATTCTTCGTTTGTGTGGCGTATTCAGCCCCTTGGTGTTGTGGGAGTAGAGAGTCATGTGTGCCATGTTTGTGGGTCCAGAGGATGCGGTAGATTTGTGCGTGATCTTATCGTCACTGGGGGTGAGGGGGGGGTTAGGTGAGGGTAGAGTGGTGCGGGTTTGAGTGGAGAGACTGCGGGGGTGGTGTGGCAGTATGTACAACGGCCTATTTAGGTCTGGTACGCTGGTCGTACCGTGGGGGATTGGAGTAGTGGTAATCCAAGTGGGTGGCTTGCGGGATCCGCTTGTTTACTAGGGTGGAGCAGATGGTCATATGGACATGCGCAATCGTTGCGTAGGGTGGGGGGGGAGCTTCATCATATCAGGCAATTGTGCTATGCAAGGCATCATATTGCAGTATGTCTTTTGGTTATATGATGTCCGAAACTATAATAACTTGTAAACGTTTGTAACAATTATAACATTTAACACGTAACTTTGTGTGTTGCAGCAAGTATATTGTCTGCTATGTCATTTGCTGTACTCATGCGTGGCAGCGCCATGGTGGGTGTCTGTGGGTCGTTCAATGCAGCGATTTCTCCGTGGTTCAGTACAGGTCGTTATGTACAGGGAGTCAGCTCGGGTTGGAGATGTCAATTGGTGTGGAGTCTGTACATTAGTGATTAAGATTGTGTTGTTGGGGAGCTGTACCATGTGTTGTGTGGTGCAGCTTCATGCCGCCATGTTGCGTTGTGGGGTTGGGTGCCTGTGTACGAACAAGCGTTCGCCCTTCCGTCTCCGCGTGTGACACTGTGACTGGGAATTTGTCGGACTGTGAGGCATCCCTCCCTGGTGTACCCTTAATGGTGGGGGGTTGGCGTGTGGTCGGTCTTGTGCTACCCTCTGGTACGGGGGCCTGTGTGTATATTGGGGCCCAGGCCGTCTCCCCTGTCTGCGGTGTCAGTCGGTGATCACCTGTTGGCATGTCACTGCTTGGACACGGTGCACCCTGGCCATGCTGTGTGTGGTGGTAGTGGCGGCATCAAAATTATGTATGCGTGCTTAAACATCTGAAGCAACATGTGAAACCACATAAGTTAAAATTATTAAATAAAAATATTAAATAACAGCAATGTCAGTATACTTGCGCCATAAGAGAGATTTTTTTTCAGTTAATTCATTCACTCAGTTCTTGTGGATTTGCGGCTGTGGGCCGAGGATGCAGGAGGGGTGCTCTGTTTACTGCGCGGGCTCCATCTCGCCAGTTCGTTCATGGCATCTTCTGGTCGTGAGAAGAGTTTAGTTTCTCCGTTCCTCGTCAGTATAAGCTTGGTGGGGAAGCCCCATCTGTAGCGGATGCCTCGGTCCCTTAGTTCCGTTGTGACTTGCTGGAAGTCCCTTCTCCTCCTTAACGTTGCGGCTGATAAATCCGCCATAATTATCACAGATGGATAGTCATCGTGCGGCCCTTGTTTGTTGCGGTGGGCCCGGAGCACCAGTTCTTTGATGTGGTAATAGTGTGCTCTGAGTACAACATCGCGAGGCACGGTGTCCGGTAGGTGCTTTGGTTTAGGGACCCTGTGGACTCTGTCAATCAGTAGCATGTCTGAGGGGATGTCTGGGGCATAGGCATGCATCAGGCCCCTAACGTACAGTTGTAGATCATCCGGCTGGACCGATTCTGGGACCCCTCTTAGCCGTAGGTTGTTCCTGCGGGCCCTGTCCTCGTAGTCCGCCAGCTTTCCTTCCATGGCCTCCATTCTTTGCTGTAAGGTAAGTAAATTTTCGGAGATTCCAGTTTGTGCCGTTTTTAAGACCTGGCAGTCGTTTTCCACTGAGGCTGTTCTGTTGGAGAGTTCTCTGACTTCATTTTTTATTTGGTCGGCTGTGGATTGCCAGGTTCGTATCAGTTTTGCTGACATTGCTTCCATTGCCCTTTCAAAGTGGGTTATTGTGAGGTGTCCAGTCTGTGGTATCTCGTCCCGCAGTGTCAGGGGAGAGCCTGCATCTGGGCTGTCGGCGCCATCTTGCGCGGCGGTAAGCATGGCCTGCGTGATTTCTATTGCGGCGGGTGTTTTATGTCCGAAGAAGTTATTTTTATCAGCCTTGGGTGCCGCTTTCTTCCCCTTGGCCTGTGACATCCTTGGGTTTTGCTTTATATCGTTTCTGCTCGTTTATTTCGCTTGTGTGCGGATCCCATGTGCCGGAGCAAAATCTTAAGCTGCCATCTTGCCCGGCGGTTAGCCACGCCCCCCGCTGACATTCTTTTTGAGGAATGACGCTCACTTAAAACACTGTTCTTTGTCAATAGTGTAGGTTAGCTGTTGACCCAAGACATAGGTCTGCAAATGAGCTTCTAGACCCAGCAACGGTGTTCTGCAGAAACAGGATGCAAATAGATTTCCCGTGCTCTAATATGAGACTGCCTGGGTTTACAAATGTTAATATTAAAGGGCCACAGTGTCACCTAGACCACTTAATCTCAGTGAAGTGGTTTGGGTGCAGTGGTCCTGAAATTTTATCCTTGCAATCTAAAACATTGCTGTTTTGTACAAAATTCACTGTTTAAAGGAACACTATAGTGTCAGGAATACAAATGTATACACTATAGGTCTAAATAGCTGTTTAGGTCCCCAGCCCCTTCTTACCTCGCGTTAAAAGGCAGCATTTGATTGAAGGTGCACGGACTCTTCCCACGCATGTGCTGTCCTATTCAACACTGCTCTATGAGCAAGACTGGATTGGACAAGATCGCAGGTGATTTCAGCATGCTTGCTGACCTAACTGGAGGCTGCAGCAGAGGAGTCCTGCAACTGGAAATGAGGTAAGTAATGTTTTAGATTAATTTTTACAGGAGAAGGGAAGCCTATAGTAATGAAATAACATTTATTTTTTGGGAGTATAGGTTCCCTTTAAAATTGGTAATGATAAACATAGCTCTAAACGAACTTGCTAATTGTTGTGCCTTTCATTTTCTTTTTCTTATATCAGTTTACTTTAACAAGTTTTCGCGTGTCCTTACTGGTCCCTGGCGTGAGAACTCAATCCACATCATTCCTCTGGAGATGAGGTAAGTGTGCACCAAAAGCTGTGAATTGTATTTGAGTGGGAGGGTAAATAATTAAACTAATTTGGAAATCGTGTCCAAGGCAGTATTTGTTGAAAAAATTAGTGACATTACTATATATTATATAAATTTTTCTATTAAAAAAACGAAAAGCAGTATGTAAATTTCTAAAAACAAATGAGGAGCTGCAGGCTGGATTGGAGCTCCATGGTGTGAGAAACCCTACCACATGTATTAAATACTGAATAGCATTTAATCATAGGTCTGTGATAATTTCAGAGTGCTGATCTCCCCCATATAATGTCCATAAGAAACATAGATAAGCTTTAGGTACGCCTGAACAGTAGATTGTAACAGTTTGTTGTGCCTTGGACTGGATGGGAGTGGCTGTGTGCACAACTGCTATCCCTCAACATGAAGGAAATTTAATCCCACAAGCTCAAGGTAACCAGTAAGAGGTGTGAGGTGCAAACATGCCATTTTGAGGTGTTCTGATTGTTCACACAGTCACTCCTTTACACCTTTAGATGTGGGCTTTGCTTGATGGTCAAATTACATAAAATACAAAATAACTGTTCATGTATAACATTGCTAGAAATGTGAGCTAACACAATGTATAGATGCCATTTTATGCTCTTTGAAATTACACTATCATTAGACATATCTGCTATACTTTAAAGAAATAGAAATTATGTAACTGTATGCTTCTTTAGTGGTAGAGCTTTATTTTCTCCCGCTGCTTGCTGCAGACAAGTCCTAGGGCTGGCATTTTCTAATGGCTATGCTGGGGTAATTGTTTTGCCGTATATTTTGGCCACCCATTCATAGTGACTACCTCAAGCAATGTGAATGCCAAGAATCTCTTGGTTATTATATTGTCTAGTAGAGATAGTCCTTAACCCCTTAATGACAGAACTTCTGGAATAAAAGGGAATCATGACAGAATATTTCCATTGTGTCCTTAAGGGGTTAAAATAATAAATTGCTAGCCATTATGAAATGCCAAGAAAAAAAACTTGTTTGTCTTCAAATAATAAAAAAAAAAAATAAAGTACGCACCGTAGCTGTGATTATAATATAACTGACCTGTTCTTTTTGCAACTGGCAGACAATTATTCCTAACAAACATGCTAAGAGATTGCTGTACAGACATGAGCTGGCTTGCGGATATGAGGCATGTGAGTGGGGAAGTAAAGCTTCTAGTGACCAATGTCTACCTCCAGTCACCATACTTCTGGGCAGTGCTCATGAATAAGGTGAGAGTGGGTGCTGGTATATTGGCATGGGAGCCATCACTCTGCATTCCATGTCATCATTATTTTCTTCTTGTAAAGTACACTCTATGTATAGCTGTTTTTTTTTATTTTTTTATTATTATTTCAGGATATTTTAGCCCATATTACAAACTTGCTTTACATGATAGAGATGCAAAATGATCAGCTGTCTTACCTCCCCAAGGAAGATGTGCAACGAGGGACAAGGTGCCTTGCTCAGTGCGTCATTTTTAATGAGGAAGACGCCGTGTGTAACAGGTTGGTGGAGAAAGGTTTGTGGCTCCAACAATGGGTCCAGAACCATTTCAAGATGAGAATGCAGAATCTGTCTTAATGCAGTGATGGCTAAACTCAGTAACCACAAAGGCTAATTTTTTATTTATTTTTCCTTCCTTGTCACACAAATCAATTGCTCCTTCCCTCTCGGCTGGACATAAAGCCAAATAAAAATACATTTAACAATACTGAAAAGAAGCCACAGGCACTAAGCACTGTGGCATATATGTATGGTGGCAATGAAGGAGTTAATCTGTTTTGTCTGGGATTTGAATGTGAGGAATTTTACATCTTGTGGTAGATGGTCAGTTAGACAGAATTGATGACAGCTGTTTGTGGGGGCTGGAGCTAGCATGGGATTGGTTGAAAGTTGCAAGCAGAAAAACAGCGGGAAACTGGAACAGTATATAAAGAAGCAGCACAAGTTTAATCCTGTCAGAGTGGACTGGAGCAGGAATGGTGCGGACTGACCCCCTCCTCCCTCCCTTTACTTTTATTAAATTATATAGTCGTGGTGTTATGAAGCATTGGAGCAAAAGTCATCCTCAGGGTCAAGTTCTGAGGAAGGATATGGGTGTAAATGGTTTTAAATAAATGGCTGTCAGGTTAATTATGACTGACTGGCTACCTGGTGGTTAATAAAGTTAAAGGTTTTGAAAGTTGGTGAGCCATATGTTATGGTTACTAAATTATGGTTGTATGCCCCTTGAGCTTTGAATAAACACCACGGCCAAGACCATTGAAAAGTAATTAAATGTTGTCTGTGGTTATTGTGTAGTCTCATTTTATTTATCCGAATATTGCCTACCGTACATATAGAAAATGAAATTTAAAAATAATTCATATAATAAATCCCCTGCTTAGCATTGTATTTGTTATCATTTTCTCACTGAGAAGACTCGCATTACAGGCTGTTAATGAAAATGTCAGCCAGTCTGTTGGTTGAGCATCATGGTAAGGCTAGCACTTGGCTCCGGGAGTGCTGAAGGTTAACCATCACTGGTATAACCTGTGAGTGACCTTTTCAGATCTTACTTTATTACCATAAGGGAAGCAGTATTTAGGAGAATTGTTTTGAGGTTTTAAATATTTTCTTTTTTGTATTCACAGGTGCTGGGTGGTAGATGTTGTTCTTGATGTTGCAATAGTCTATTTATTGGATTATGGCATCACAGCCAATGTTCCTATACAGTCTCTGCGCAGATTAGATGAGGATCGTTTTTGGGAAACACCTCCTCTGGCTCAGCCGTTTGTTTTACAGAAAGGTAGAGAAGTTTCTTTGTGTACTTTTTTGTGCTTTATTTCTGCTCACAACATTAACAAAGTTTATTTTTGTTCCTTATTGTAAAGATTATTCATTGCATTTTTAAAGGCTGTGACTGCATTCATTTTCTTGGAACCATCATCACTGGTAAAATCAGCGGGTCATGCACAAATGAGGTAATTACCAAAACGTGTTGACAATTACTGTGAGCTCGAAGTGTCTTAAAGGAACGCCCTAAATAAATAGGAATCTCTATAATGCAGTGAACGCGCATCCAGTATTGGCATTTCTTATATACTGACACCTTACGTGAAAGAGACCAAATTGTTAAACCTATTTCTGTCAAAAGCCTAATGTCTGCATACATCCACTTCCAAAATGTTAACAGAACCCAATCCCAAAAACAAATTGTTTGCTGCAGCAACGCTACTGGGGCAGCCTGAATTGACTTGTGTTGCTTACCCTGTCAATTTACTGTTACCTACTTTTTGGCTTGTACAGCATTCTGTAATTATACAGTGAAGGGAATGTTAATATAATAAAGCTTACATAGGTGACCGTGACTCTGGGCCATTGATTGAAATAACATTGCATTATAGATGGTTAATTTTACCCTACCAGCTTAGTGAATGTTAGAATTCAGAACAGAGTGGACAGCATGGGGAACATAGAAATATTGGGGTAATGATGTGTATTCAGAGACTTTAGAGGCTAGGAGAATTAAAACCATACTGGATTTCATGTCTTGATAAAGACAGAGATATGTTTCCTATCCTATTGGATGGCTGATTAATCCACCTTTACTCATGTTAAGTGCTGGTGTCTTATTTTCTTTATGGTATTCCTGTGTTTGTCGCATTATATTTATAGCTAGTAAAGTATTTTCTAAGAATTTATTTTACTAATATTTACTCTGCTCCGGGTATTTTTCCAGAAATCTGAAATATATTTGATGCCCAGTTACTAAAGTAATGTTCAGACAGCTAGCGATGCGAGTTATGAATCCTGTTTAAGACATAAAGATATTTATATGTAAATGTATATTAGAATGCAAAGGCTAAAAGTAAGGTTTGAGCTGGTGTTCGTTTAAAGGCCACTAAACCTGGGATATGTGGTGCGAAGAAAGTCTTCTAGTAACACATCCCTCATGTTCTTTAAAGGATATTGGAAAGAAGTTTTTTTGTGGTTAGGGAGTAAACAAAGCATAAAAGCTGTGATACATTTCTTTAAGAGATGGCACTTAGTCTCTGTCCATTTTTTACTCTCTTCTCTAACCAGCCCCTTATCTTGCTGTTCTCTAAGAGTGGGGATGAAGAAACTGTGGACATCCCTCTGCTTCAGGCTCATGCTTCCAGTCTCTAATCATCTAATGGACTTTGTCATGAACTTCAATTAAACCACAGTATCGGTTTCGCTTTTTTTAGTTCACCCTTTAAGTTTAAAAATTAAATTGGTTTGCACAGAGTTTCTTCTGTTTATTAAGTTGTACTTTATCTTAAGAAAACAATTTATTTAAAATTAAAAAAGGTGTGACTATACTGATTTGCAGTATCTTGCAGGCCTTGATTTACCTTAAGAAATCTTCACTCTTTGTTTTTCACATATATATATACATGTAATAAAAATTCAACAGTTTAGATGCTGTTTTTAGCCATGTCATGTCAAAATGATAGTTTAAATACTGAACTATCTACTATCGGAACAGCTTAACAGTCGATCGGTATAATGATTGTCCCTTCCCCCAGTTAGTTAACTGGGAGGGTGGGGTGTGTGTGTGTGTGTGAAGATTTTTCTTTATTTATTTTATTTTTTTATTTACATGTGGGTACACCTATATGGCGATGCAGACATTTTGAAACATGCAGGTCTCTAATAAACAGTGATATGAGACATGCAGGTCTCTGATTTCAAGGACCTACAACAGAAACAAAAAATAACATGCCATCTGCTCTTTGTGATCACATTCTAGTAACCTGTTCTAGCAATGGGCATCCAGTACTGAAAGGAAACGAGAAGCCATGCAATCATAAAGTCCATTAGCAGATACATTCGGCTAAATCCTGCAGAGTGGCACAATACACCAGGTACAAGACAGAAGATACCCTGTTAAAGTACACCACCACAGAAACAAACAGAGAAGGTACATTAGCAAAGAAAAAAACCTTTAGAATTACCAGGATTTCCATATGATTTGGCTATACATTTTTTTCATCATCCGCTCTCTCACAACATTAGACAAGCACAATCTGCTTAAACAAATACAGTTATACATTGTCATGTCCAAATTGAGCACACAGTGTAAACATTCGCATTGCACAGTTAGAAAACCTTTGTGAAACCTGGGATATAATAAAGGTTGACTCTCTCTGGCAGCCATAACCTCAACCAAAAAATATTTCCTGTAGTTGCAGATCAGATATGAACAAAAGTATGGGAGAATTGTAGACCAAATTCTCATTACAAAACGGTTTCAGGATTTTGGATAGGGTTTAAATTTCTGGTGTTAATTGCTTTTTATACGGTTTATATATTCCTGTCCTTTGGGTCATTGTCCTGGTACATCACCCGACTTATGTTGAATTTCAGTTGGCAGGCAGATGGCCTTAGATTATCTGGTAAAATTATGTCCACAATACTGAACATTATTTTGCCAGCTGTGAGCTGTGGAAAATTCCACTGCCTTTATGCAAATAAATGTGGAGCAATGCTTTTTTGTGTGTGTTTTTTTTCTTTTGGACAGATTTGGTTTTTGCTGTGGTGTCCACCCATGACCGTGCTATTAAGTTTTTTACGTATGCACCATCTTGGCTCATGAGTGCAAAATTTTGAGGTGATCACATGCAATTACATTCGCTTTTACTGATGTCCCTCCACAGACATGCTGAGGACACAGATAATAGCCAGTGAAGAAATAACCTTTGGATTCCAGGACTTCCAGATTGATCGCAGGGGCAGTTGGAAGAAATTCTGACTATGCTAAAGCACCTATTTATTTAACTCCTGGGTATGCCAGAACATATTTAACCTAGCACATAGAGCCCCACGAGAGCTATTGTGATAATGCTCCCTCTGACAAACTGTTTTTTTTTGTTTATGGTTTATTAAAAAAGATTCTACAAAAAAAAAAACAATCAGAGAATCTATCACTTTCTCAGATAAACCTATTCAGAATTTCCAGGACCCCTCCTGGATCACATTGAACACCAAGAAGTCCGTAAAGCCGTTTACTGGTGCCCTACTTAACAGTCAACGCTGTTGGTGGGGCATTTCATTTGCTTTTGTCTTACATCAAGACATACTCCATCACCATGGCTGCTGAGGTACCTGCCCTAGGTTTACCTGGGGACTGATTTTGACCACAGACTCTCCCTTACAGGGATCTGCAAGGTGGCAGAAGACACAAAGTAACAACCACTCTGGAATAGCAGACAACAGCAACTGCAATATTTCTGACTCTGCACCTACTTCAATGCAAGGATGGTCTGTGTCTCTTTCTATCTCCAATTCTTAAGCATTGAATGGCCTTTGCCATCACAACTGTGAGAACTATATTATGTCCTGGTATCCTGGACTTAGTCTTTGGATTTTACTTGCCAATCGGGTATCTACATATATATATATATTATAGATACTATGGTATCTCATATATACTACTTTAGAAGTGATAGTGTGGTTTAACTTTCTTATATTAAGATCTCTCTTATAAAGAAAGTGTAATGCTATAAATGAGAGGGAGAACCAAATGTGGGATTATTTTTGTGTGTGCAAATCACGTAGGTTTAAGTGGGAGTTGAATCATATTCTCTTCCTAGTTGCTCACAGCATTTTGTAAGGGCTGCTGTGTATGCAGATATAATATATTGTTCATATATAGATTGGCGAAATTGCCCGCTTCCCTCGCAGAGTAGGTGCATCAGGCCGCAGTCATTCGGAGGACACAGTTGTATCTCAGTAATATGAGATGCTGCCTAAGAGGTGCTAGACGTCTGTATGAGTTGCAGGCTGACGATGATTGGGATAGGTATAGCCCCTAAAGCTCATAAATTATAAGATTGATCAGGAGATCCAGCTTGCCACGTCCTTTTAGTATGATGGTCAAGCCCTGCCCCCAGGACTGGCTTTTTAAATGTATCAAAGTAGGATTTATTGTTAAGCAACTTCTAATATATAATTCATCTGTATAGCTTTGTATTGAGACATCTCAGTTGGTGCGGAATCTTGCTAGATGTAACTATTTCTAGGAAACTGCAGAGTATCGCTGGCATATAGACAGCCAACAAATAATGAAAAGGTTTCTTATGAGAAGTCTCTGCCTTTCTGAATAAGCTTGCAGATCTGACAGGGGATGTATGAATGAATTGGTTAGGAATGCTGACAAAAGGAGCCTCTTGACACAACACTATATAGATACATGTTCATATGTATATCTAGCAGGAATGACTTATCCTTACAGAACCAACGGCTCATTCGACCACAGTAAAAAGGCAGGAGAAGACATTGCAACATGAGTCTTGGAGCTGTGCACATGTCCTACAGCTTGATTTCTTTTTTTTTTTTTTGACACTTTTACTAACCTGTCTCTTCTGGGAGTCCAGTCACAATGCAGAAATGTAGCAGCATTTCATATTTATTTCTAAGAATACAACATTGTATAAGTGAAAAATATTTTAAGTAAAATATGTTATGCATCAAAAAGACAGGACATTAAGAACTGAACTTAGGAATCTGTAAACCAATATGTAAAAAACAGCTGTTTGTCCCTGAAAATGTTTAGCTTGTGCAGATAGAAGACAACAGCAGAAGGCTATGTATTCCTTAAAGTCAGTGGTCAAGTTTAATCGGCTATATCTATACATTATGCTTGCCAAATGGCTTAAAATGTTCAGAATATATTGTGTGAAATCACGCAGGATGGACATAGAGGCGCATATCACCATATGCGGCAGACATGTCCTAAACTGGCACTCTTCTGGGAAGGTATTCATAACTTAATATCTCAAATTTTCCATAGGCCCATCCCGTTAGACCCTTGAGTGTTTTTACTTACCAAAACTTTTTATTTTTTATACATCTTTATTTTTGCAGGCCATGCAGTAAAAAACATACAATTAAAAAGTTACATGCTTAGTTCACAGTGGTTGCATTTGTCGTATACACTAGAAATCATGCCTCACCTAACAGGTTCTTATGTCCGTTTGTCATCTGGAAATCGGGGCCCGTGAGGGTGATTCATAGTCTGGTGTAAGAAGCTTGTAAGTTCGTATCAGGGTGTGTATTGACCATGTAGTCACATAAACATGCTATGAATAGAGTTGAGTGGACACCTGGATGTTCGGCTGAACTTTGAAAAAAAGTCCAGGTTCGTGCTCGAACTTGACCCCGAACTTCATTGGGGACCCTAACTTTTGGCCACAAAAATGCCTCTAAAAATCTCCTGGAAAGGGCTAGAGAGCTGCAAAAGGAAGTAAAATGGGGGTAAAAGTAGGACAAGTGCCCTGCAAACAAATGTGGATAGGGAAATCACTTAAAATAACATAAAAATTAAAAATACAGCTGAGCCAGAAAATAGCACTAGATGGAATCTTTTTGATTTTAGCTTTGAAAGAACATCACCAGAGGATCACCAGAATTATCCAATTGAGAGAGGGTTGGAGTGCAGGGTATTCTTTCATTGTTCAAACTGAGCTCAACTCCTGATGCATGGAGAAAAGGCCTTCACACGCCTCTGCTATTGTGTACATAGTTTATACTACAATTCCCATCAAGCCAAGTCACCAGAGATCACCCAGCTCGTCATGCTAGAGCACTTTTTCAATATGCTCCCCAACGAGAAGGCAACTTTCGATTCCATTGACTGCGCCTACCATGGTGACCACGGGTAACGGGGAATCAGGGTTCGATTCCGTACAGGGACCCTGGCAAACAGCTACCACATGCAAGCAAGTCAGCAGGCGCGCAAATGACCCACTCCCGACGCGGGAAGGTAGTGATGACAAATAACACAGGACTCTTTAAATGTCCTGTAATTGTAATGAGTCCACTTGAAATCCTTTAACTCTGATCAATTGGAGAGAAGTCTGGTGCAGAGCCACTGACCCGTACGTGCTGCAGCTGAAACTCCACTATCGCCTGCTGTTGCTCAAACAGTCTCTCCAGCATGTGCAAGGTGGAGTTCCACCTTGTGGGCACGTCGCATATGAGGCAGTGACCGGGAAGGCCAAAGTTACGCTGCAGCGCAGACAGGCGAGCAGCAGCAGGGTGAGAATGCCGAAAGCGCGCACAGCCGCTACAGTGAATGTCACATCTTGTTCCAAGTTGCCGATCAGTCTGGTGATGGCTTCTGGTATCCAGTACTCTTTTTACTGAAGCTGCATCAGAGTCCTGGTATGTGGCCGCACAAATGCTGGTGCTCAACACCAGGGGGCATGCGGTTACCCTGCACCAGACCCTGCTAATCCATTTCACAATGTGACTCCTAACTTCTACATCAGTGTCTGGGTCCCGGTCACTGGACTTCGAAACTGCGAATGGCTCGTTAAATCTGTTATGGTTCTTTTTATTGCTTCAACTGTTACTTGGAAAACTGGGAAGTCTAAAGATAATACATGCCGACGAGCGCTAGGGGATGGCCGCTCCGCTTTTGCACCCTGCTCCCTCTTATGCTGTGCTGGTGCCTCTGTGCGACCAGCGCCTCTTCCTCCAAACTGCACACATCACTTGCATGACCTTGATTTCATGTGGGGTCGAGGACCTAATCATCCTCCACCCACTCCTATACCCTTCCCTCCTTGCCGGTATGCACACTGCATAAAGCCATGGCAGTTGGCACCTGTGTTTTTTCCAGCATGTAAAGTCTGCAAAGGACATATGGAAATTGTTTTAGAATTGTATCCAGGCAACAGTTTTCCCTTTAACTCAGTTTGACTTGTGAGGGTATTGCCCCAGAATTACAATATTGTTTAAGTACCTCTCTTGATAACTGGTTTAAATATAGCCGCTTGTTATCTGTTAGTTTCTAGTGTAGAAAATATCAATCAGTTTTCTATCACTTAGATCTGTGTAACAAGTGTTGTAGGTGTGAAACAATATTACAAGTGACCGATGTAGTAAATTTGAATCAAAGTTACGCTTCGATTTGACTCTCAGATATGAAGTGAACACCCCAAATATACTATTTAGCACCAAAAAAAAATTGACTTTTTAAAACACCAATGTAAGCAGCAGATTAGCAGCAAAACAATTTGAATGTTTACAACTGCGCAGTAAGCCCACTATTTGACGCTTCTATTTGACTCTCAGATATGAAGAGCAGGTCTCAAAATGTACTATTTAGCCAATATGACAGCAGTATTTGACGCTCCTATTTGACTCTCAGATATGGAGGATGCCCAAAATGTACTATTTAGCAGTTTAGCAGCAAACAATTAGAATGTTTACAATTGCGCTGTAACCGCAGTATTTGAAGCTTTTAGTTGACTCTCAGATATGAAGTGCAGGCCCCAAAATGTACTAATTAGCAGATTAGCACCCAGAAAATTAGGATTTTTACAACTGCGCTGTAAGCACACTATTTGACGCTTCTATTTGACTCTCAGATATGAAGAGTACGCCCAAAATATACTATTTAGCAGACTAGCAGCAAAACAATTAGAATGTTTACCACTGCGCTGTAAGCGCACTATTAGACGCTTCTATTTGACTCTCAGATATGAAGTGCACGCCCCAAAATGTACTATTTAGCAGATTAGCAGCAAAACAATTAGAATGTTTACCACTGCGCTGTAAGCACACTATTAGATGCTTCTATTTGACTCTCAGATATGAAGTGCACCCCACTAATGTACTAGTTAGCAGAGTTCTTTCCTAAGCTGTACCTCACAGGGGCAGCATCCTCTCATTTCACTAATAAGACCTCATATGCGTGTGGCGCTATGTGACTCCAGCTTATATATAGAGGCTGGGTTACATGCTGCACTGGCCAATCACAGCCATGCCATTAGTAGGCATGGCTGTGATGGCTTCCAAGGGCACACGAGTCAAACGCTTGTTGATTCATTATTGTGATGCTGTGAAGAACTGTACTGTTATTACCCTCCTCTCTGGTCCCCCACAAGAATGGGCCCATGATCTCCTGCGTATTGATGATCCAAGTATCCAAACCTGGACTGCTTTTCTTGAAGCTATGACAGCTATGTACAATGATCCCAATCGTCAAGACATTGCGCAAACGGCTATGAGGGCGTTATGCCAAGGACGCAGACCAGTTGAGTATAAAATAGAATTTTAGCGATATGCCACGGACACATGCTGGAACGAAATTGAGGTCTGGACGCAGGTGCCTGTACTTCAGTCCGCACTGCGGCTATGTCGGCGGCAAACAGCTTTTGTATTCTATCAAATAGATTATCAATGTCCTGTTTTGTTGCAGGTACTAGGCTGGCTGGGGTATTTGTGGCTTGGAGCCCTGGGCATCTTCACTCACCCCTCCCTTCTCCTGAGGATCGCAGGCCTCATTCTCGTGCTTTGGTGTGCGTTGGAGCAGCGTGCCGATGTCCTGGGGCTTGTGCACCTGAGATTTTTGGGTCTTTTTAACCATCTCAGGCTCTTGGGTCAGTGCCTGGCGAGAATCGGGTGTGAGCCAGTCTGGGTGCCAACAGGCCGCGAAGGCATGCGGCTTATTCCTCTGGCTTGCCGCTTGGGAGGCCATAGTAGGACAGTATTTGTGTTTTAGCGCCCGGTTGTTGGAAAAAAATTGCATCGGTGTGAGCCTCTCCGCCTATACCAGTCTGCAGGTAAGTCTATGCAGGGCAGAAGTGCAAAAATATCACGGATTTCTGTGTGGGATCAGCGGAGCTCCAGAAGTGACATCTGTGCTGGTCTGCCGCTAAGCCCCGTCACCTTCCGATGATTTTAATACCCACAAAATAATCTATTAGGCAGGTTTACACTAGCAGCTTGGAGGGCTCTTGCCCACCACTGGCTAAAAGATAAACCTCCCGCAATTGACCTGGTGATACATAACATAAATGGGGATAATAAAGTATACACAATCCTTTCTTCCATTGTAGTGAACCCTCTACTCTTCCTGCCTTCCTGTCACGGTGACTTACCTGTGACCTGCGGCTACAGCGGTCTCCTCTCGATGCACTCTGAGGACTCTGGCGTGCACAGCTTCGGGTTCCTCCAACACGTAGATGCGGTGCCACGGTTCTCCATGCCGTGATCCACTGGAGTTCCAGCTGAAGCCAAGTGGGATTCTCTGGTAGGTGTGCCCCTCAACGTTGGCCTCTTAAAGGTACAGTACAACTGAAGTGGTTTAAAGGACTAATCACCTTCTACCCAATAGAATGTGAGAGGTGGATACCTCTCCCCTATATAATCACAGCCTACCTCTACCTCATTGCTCACTTCTACTGTGCTTACTGTGGGGTCAACTTCAGTGTGCCTATCCTGCCTTATCTGGTATCTGATATCTGCTTGTTTATCGTCTCTGAACCCGTGCCGTCTGAACTGACCCCTGGCTTTCCTCAACTACGAATTTGTTTTTCCTTTGTTAGTTCGCCTCGGCTGATTCCTACCACCTGGACTCGCATACGTGAAAGATGTAACAAAAGAACTGAGCCTATATGGAGCCCGCAAATTTGGCCGAAATGTTATACACTCACCAGGCATGTGTCTACAGTCACTCAAGCCGTGCAAGAATTACAAACTCCAGCTGCTACCTCTGTATCCAGAGCTCCACAAGCTTCTCCTGCTGCTCATCTGGTACCCCTGTCGGAGGATAACGCTATTGCTCTAGAACCCCAGGTATCACTGCCTGAATGGTTCACAGGGGATCTTTTCAAGTATTGCACCTTTATTATGGCTTGTGAACTGTTATTTGATTTAAAGCCTAGAATTTATTCTTGTAATGCTGTGAAAAGTTGAGTATATAGCAATTTCAGCAATATGCCACGGACACACGCTAGAACAAAATTGGACTTATCAACCAATTCTGTTTGGGGCTGTCCGAACTTCTAAAAGATGACTTTGCCCAATTTGGTATACCAAATACCTTAGAGGAATCTATGCAACAAGCGATCCAACTAGAGCGACGCCTAAGAGAACGGCGACAAGAAAGAGCACCGACTTATACATCTGCTTTAAGATCCACCCCTTTTGGTTATACCCCTACAACCTCAGCCTCCATTGCAATAACAGAAGAACCAATGCAAGTCTGCCTAGTTCAAGGAAAACTCACTCCCACTGAATTACAAAGAAGAAAGATAATTTGTTTCTCTATTACGGGCGCTCTAACCACACGGTGAATGACTGCCCTTAGAAGCGGAAGAATTCACAGGGTAAGAAATCCAACCCTGTTGCTATGACTTCTACTCTGGTTACTACGACTCCTCCGTTATCTGTCTTTCCTTGCAGTGGAATGACGAGGACTACGAATGTCAAGCATTGATTGTTCAGGGGCCAGTGTTTTTCCTGTACTCAACTCTTGCATGTTCCTTGTATATACCTATACAAAATAAAGCCTCCCCATTGCATATACAACTTGTGAATGGGTCCTTTTTACCTTCTGGTCTGCTCACTAAACAAACTGAACCTATTTTAGTTAAAATAGGAAAACCCAGAGAGACTCTGTCCTTCAATCTCGTTCCCTCTCCTCTATTCCCCATCATCCTTGGGACCCCCTGATTGCAGACACATGACCATATGGTCCACGGTATCCTTGACATTCTCTTCACCACAGTGCTCTCAACTCTCCCTGGAAAATACAACAACAAAAGGATTTGTAGACTTGATACTGGAGAAGAACATGGCAAAAGGACATGAAGTCATCCTCCCTGAGGTTTACAATGTATAACGAGATGTATTTGATAAATAGGGAGTAGAAACCCTACCTCTTCGCAGAAAATATGACTGTCCTATTGACTTATTGCCAAGAGCTCCTATTCCCTTTGGTAGAATCTACCCTCTATCCGAAAAGGTACTACTAATCCTTAGAGTATATACAAGAAAATCTGAAAAAAGGATTCATCAGGCCCTCCACTTACTCCGCGGGAGCCAGGATTTTCTTTGTTAGGAAAAAGGATAGAAGCCTATGATCCTGTGTAGACTATAGGGGTCTCAATCATATCACCATCTTTAATGAGTACCCCCTATCACTTATTCCACAGCTTATTGAACGTCTTTAAACAGCACGAATATACACCAAACTGGACTTAAGGGGTGCTTATAATTTTCTCTGTCCGTGAGTGAGAGGAGTGGAAAACAGCGTTTTTGTTCACGCTATGGTCACAAAGAATACCTGGTCATGCCCTACGGGCTGTGTAAGGCTGTCGCCTGCTTTCAGCATTTTCTCAATTACTTTTTCCGTGATCTCCTTGACCAATATGTGGTCTTTTATTTAGATGATAATTTAATTTAATTTTCTCCTGGTTTACATACTTGCTGTCTTCGTGTCGTTGAAGTACTAAAATGTTTACGTAAGAAAAAAAAAATGGGAAAGTGCATATTTAAAGCAGAGTGCATGGAATTTTTGGGCTTCATCATTAAACCAGGCAAAGTAGAGATGGATTCTCGAAAAGTCACCACCATCCTCACATGGCCCACACACAAGTGATCCAACCTCTCACTCATCTTGGCAAAAAAGATACAAAATGGAACTGTACTTCAAAAGAACAGAAAGCATTCAACAATCTAAAAGTTCTATTTACCACTGCACCCACTCTTATTTTACCTGATCCAGAAAAACCTTATTACCTGGAAGTCGATGCATCCGACTCAGCAAAGCGGGCAGTTTTATCACAAAGAGACAGCTCAACCGGACGATTACACCCCATAGCCTTTTACTCTCCTAAATTAACCAAGGCTGAATCAAATCACTATGTGGGAGATGAACTACTAGCCATAAATATAGCACTTGAAGAATAGAGACATCTCCTGCAAGAGGCCAAATTCCCCATAGCTATTTATACCAACCATAAAAACTTGGAATACATCCGAACAGCTAGACTTCTTAATCCCCGTTAAACCAGGTGGGTGATGTTCTTTTCATGTTTTTCATTTGATATCACCTACCGTCCTAGGTCAAAAAAAATCTAAAGGCTGATGCGGTCTCCAGAATCCACACAACAGTAAGTCAACAACCCAAACAGAATGAAACCATCCTACTGAACCATCACTTTGTTGGCCTCATTTATTTATTACTATTTATAAAGCGCCAAAAGATTCCGCAGCGCTGTACAATTAGTGGAGAACGTACAATATACACAGACAAATACAAGAGGTAGAGAGAGCCCTGCCCGTAACCTGATATCTAGCCATTGGAGCAAGCTCTTTTATACAAAGTGCTTAGCTATATGGCCCATGAGCAGTGGCGTACATACAACCCATGGGGCCCCGGTGCAAAAACTGATCATGCACAACTTATGCTTGTGCTAAAGGTCACACTTCTAAAATAGCTGGTCTTCTACAACCCCTACCAATACCATCCAGACCCTGGAGCCATCTAACTGTTGTCTTCATTGTAGATCTACCACCATCACAAGGATATAACACCATTATGGTTGTAGTTAATTGCCTGACAAAAATGTCACATTTAGTTCCTGCTCAAGGACTCACCACTGCTAAACAAACTGCCTCTCTCTTCCTTAATAACATCTTCCGACTACAGGGGATACCTGAATCTATTCTCTCTGATAGAGGTATACAATTTACTTCCCGTTTCTGTAGAGCATTTTGTCAATCTCTCTTTTGTCAAGATATCAGTAGATCTTTCATCCCCAATCCAACGGACAAACTGAAAGGACAACTCAATCTCTGGAGACATATCTCAGCTGCTATTATACCCACTTGCAATCTGACTGTTGTTGGGGGATTCCATCATAAGAGGTGTGGAGATGGACAATGGTGGTCTTGTGAGGTGTCTTCCTGGAGTTACTGCTCACAGAGACAGGAGACGTATCTGTAATATTGTTAAGCGAGAAAATCAGGAAGGGGAATTGGATGTACTTCTCCATCTAGGGACAAATGACTTGGCTTGCAATGAGGTTTCAGAGGTTAAGGACGTTTTTAATGTTTTTGCTAATGATATACGGCAGGTTGCTTCCACACTGTCATTCTCTGAAGTTCTGCCTGTGCATAACACTCAGAACGACAGGCGGATGCGTATTAGGGACTTTAACTTGTGGCTTGGTGAATGGTGTCGGGAGCAAGGATTTGGCTTTATTTCTCATGGTAGCTCTGTTTGGAATGGAAATAAACTGTACAAAATAAATGGTTTGCATCTTTCTCAAAAGGGAACAAATGAACAGTAGTATACATGCTACCAACCTAGGCTTAGGTTAAATCAAAACTATTAAAACTAAGCATGTAAATATCCTAATCTGGTGATACAACTATGCAGTGCTATTTCCAAAAGTGTGTCCAGAGATGCAAACATTTGTGTGTTGAATAGTCATAGAAACCTGTGTGGGTTTGAGTTGGTCTATACATATTCATGCTTAATGTGTGGTAGCTTGATCTCGAGGAATACCTCTCTTTTGTCCCCTATTGGAGCTGTCAGGAGGAGTGAAAAGTGTCAGTGGCATACAGACAGTTGTGGGAGTTCATCTGAGTCATGAAGGATTAGTAAAACGAAATAAAAATGAAGGAGGTGATGAGTTCTTTTCTAGACATTAAGTCCCAGTGCTGTGTGGTTCATCCGATGCCTTG